TCCCTGTGCAAAATCACAAACGAGAAGGAAAATTTCAGAAAGGAAATTCTGCGAACTTTAACCCCTTTCCGCAGGATCTTCGTCAATATGAGAGAATCTTACAACTTTTTGATCCGCTCCCTTTCCTAATTTTACAGCCATTTTATCTTAGTGTTGTACCTACGAAACATGCCTCGCATTTCCTCCTCTGAAACAGTGAGAGGCAGAAAGAAAGCAGTTAATTTGCCCAATTCGGGAAACCACTAATACATGTCTAATAAACAACCATCGCGTTACCCGATACGATGATGACGGTGCTTGCTCTGCCCCTTTGTCCGAAAAGCGCCATTCATAGGACAAAAAGTTCAGCAAAAGTCTTCTTAGGAGTGGACATTGAAATTTAACCGGAAGATGTAGAAGTCAGCCAAGGAAATTTACAAAAAAGAACAATTTTTCTTTTCAAAAATCTAGTCAATATGAAACAAAATTTGACTGCTGGGACGCAAATTCGGCTTAAAAAAGACGAAATTTAACAGAAACGATCACTGAAATAAGAAGACAAAACGATCCCTTATAAAACTGAAGAGCATACAGCTGTGCTCAAAAATGCCCAATTTTGTGATGGTAAAAATGCGATTCTCTGTTAAAAAAGTTCAGCGAAAATTTTGATGGAAACGTCATTTAAAAAGCGGCAAAAAATAGGAACATTTGACCATTTTGGACAAAAATGGCTATTTTATGCGAGAAATGCATCAATAATGGCAGGACTGCAGGCAAAATTACGATACACTCTCTCTACCAAAAGCTAGCTATGCTACTGGAACTGCTGCTGATGATGTAAGAAATAATAAATGAAACAACATACTCATAGTGACAGCTTCAAGTCCGTGATATACCCCAACTCCGGCATTACTTCTCGCTGCCACTTTAACCCCATAAGTCATTTCAGGTATCAAATGGAACAGCGTAACGCTTGAAGCACGTTCATTGGTGGTTATATTCCTATTGTACTTCGCACCATTACCCAAAATGATGATCTAAAGACAGTTCAATAAAACAATCCACCAAACAATAAAGCTGGAATTTTATTAAAAGCTGCTACTTCTTTAAAAATCGTGCAGCACCCTATCAACTAAACAACTCGCAGACAACACACGTAGATTTTTTAGCAACTACTTATCATAATCCAATGCTCAGTTTCTTAAGTTTTTTTTCTCACTGCTCTAGCCTTACGCGATTTTACACATCCTCATCATATAGATAACGGCCAGGAGGTTGCACTGGTGATTCCCATTCCTATCTGCATACTCGTTCAATGTGTGTTTACAGTAAAGGGATGAAACACAGACTGCATCCTAACTTATCCTTTTGCACATGATATTTAGACTGATCCCTTATCTCTTACTGTATTATTTCACCAAAAGCCATATAAGACAGGACATGCCTGAAAGCCTTTCAAAACTCCGTTGATGCCATCTGCAGGTGGTGGACGCCACGAAATTCTCAGCGTTGTCAAATTCATCATCCGAACACGAACATCCGTAGGCGCTGATGTTGGAGCTGAAATTACGCGAATAAGTCAAATTTTTTCACAAACTTTAAAATATTCCAGCAACGAGGCACCGGATGATTTTACTAGGTAAACAGGCGCTGGTACCGAAGACGACTCATCCTCTAGGAAAAAATTATTGGTCTATCACCACTTTAACAAGGCATTTCAAAAACATTTCTTCCAACAAGCCTTTTGCATCCCCGAGACCAATCTTGCGAATTGGCCTCAGAATTAAGAGACTTACGAGCTTCACTAGTTGCTCCATCCAATGAATTGCTCGGCATTCCCTGGACAGTTTTGTGGTACGGGATCACGAAAAATTCGTAGCTTGTGAAAGGACGTAAGTTATTTACAATATACGAATCGATGTTAGGCTTTGAGACGTTCAACCAATGACTATCGCCGCCACTTGATCCAGCCGGGCCTTTTCCTGAAGATGATGAAGATGCGGCTGACGAGAGCGCCCTCCACTTGATATAATAACCTTCCACAAGCGGTTCGTTTCGACGACGCTGCAAATTTGCTGTGTAATTGGGGGAAACTTTTTTGAAACCATGGATAGCAGTTACTGCTCATCCATACCACTGGTATTATTCTCTGCCCTTCAGGGATATCATCTAGCTGTCCCGATTTGGCTACAATAATTGAAGGCTGATATTTCGATAGATTTCTAAAAGCTTTACTTTCCAAGTTAATTTTACAGCCGTTGCGTTGATTGTTCGTGCCTCCTCCAGCTTTATCAACTGCTCGGATGCAATTCGCTGCCTCGCAATATCCAAGTCCATATTCGCGTTAGCACGCTGACGTTCGCCTAAAAATTAACTTTCATTTTAGGTAAACTCAACAGCGACGCGCACTAGTGTTGCCGAAGCGTTCTTACAACCTAAAATCTATAGTAACCGTGATCGAGGATAACGTGCGCTGAAGACTGTTGCTACTTTTTTTTATGCCCCACAGAATCAGAAAGCATTTTAAAAAAATTTTAGCTTTGGTTGCCGACAGGATAGAATAACGGCAGCGTTACAATTTGAACATTTGATATGTCTATAAGTGGTGCCGGTATGCGTTTTTGCATGTCTAAATATGCCAAATTCTTCATGAGGAACTTAAGCTGAATGTATTCAAAAAAAAAAGAAAAAAACATCCATATTTTAGCGTTCATCAAAAGAACGGGAAAAAGTAGTCATTTGTAGGCCGGCGACCGCGAACTCATCCGTCAGTCTTCATATTGTCAAGAAGAGTTGAAATATGCAAAAATGCTGCATTTTTGTGAAGTACGGAATCGCATATGCATATCCACGGAAAACAAAAAGCGAATTAGCTCAGATGACCCATTTGTGCTGTGAACCTGCTCTGTGCAATTGACGGGGGTAGTTTATAAATTATCACCATCAAAA